TGTAGGCATATGGGCTAGCACACACTTATTTTACACAAATGGTAACACAATATATATACTGTTATACACCTTGGATTTTTAATTAAATGTGTGTGTGTTTTTTTGGTTTAAATTGGAAAAGAATACCTGATACTATTTGTACCCTATTAGCCATTTTTAAGTGTATAGTTTAATAATGTTAACTGTTGTGTAAGAGATTCTAGAACTTTTCCATATTGCAAAACTGAAACTCTGCACTCATTGAACAACTCCGCATTATTTCTCTTCTCCCCACATCTTGTTTTTTTTTTTTTTTTGAGACAGAGTGTAGCTCTTGTTGCCTAGGCTGGAATGCAGTGGCACCATCTTGGCTCACTGCAACCTCCGCCTCCCGGGTTTTAAGTGTTTCTCCTGCTCAGCCTCGTGAGTTGCTGGAATTACAGGCACACGCCACCATCCTCAGCTCATTTTTGTATTTTTAGTAGAGAGGAGGTTTCCCCATGTTGGCCAGGCTGGTCTCGAACTCCTCCTCCCGCCTCAGCCTCCCACCAAAGTCCTGGTGTTACAGGAGTGAGCCAATGTGCCTGGACTGTTTTTTTTTTTTTTTTTGAGAGGGAATCTCTGTGTTGTCCAGGCTGGAGTACAGTGGCTATTCACAGGTGCAGTCATATAGCCTTGAACTCCTGGGCTGGAGTGATCCTCCTGCCTCAGCCTCCTGAGTAGCTGGGACTACAGGCACGCACCCGGCTACCACACCTTGTTGTTTAAAAATAGTTTTAGGCCTGTCATGGTGGCTCATGCCTGTAATCCAAGCACTTTGGGAGGTTGAGGTGAGTGGATCACTTGAGGTGAGGTCTGGAGTTCAAGACCAGCCTGGCCAACATAGTGCAACCCTGTCTCTACTGAAAATGCAAAATGTAACCGAGCGTGGTAGTACCTGACTGTAATCCCAGCTACTCCAGAGGCAGAGGCAGGAGAATGCTTGAATTCTGGGAGATGGAGTCTCCCAGAGAGCTGATATTGCGCCATTGCACTCGAGCCTTGGGTGACAGAGTGAGAATCTGCCTCAAAAAAAAAAAAAAAGTTTTTATTAAAAATTGTTGATGCAGAAGGATGTTTAAGAATGTATACGGAATGGAGACACCTTTCTCTTTTTTATTTAACATTCATCATTGAGATCATTTCTTCATAGACTTCTTTTTTAAAATCCTTTCAAAGTGTTACCTTTTCTAGATGTAGCATAATTTATTAGTTCCTTAGTGTTGGGTATTTAGGTTGTTATTGATCTTCTGATACCGACAGTATTGACTTTTTACCTTTCTGAGCTTTTTGTTTTAGTTGGGCCTCATCCTCAGAATGTAATTTGATTTTGTTTTTAACTGAAAGACTTTTAGTAGCTGAATTTCTCATTTATTAATTTTAGTAATAGCAGCTCACTTCCATTGAACACATCTGTGTGCCGAGTACTGCTCTAAGCACACTATTTAGACTGCCTTTAATCTTTCCAGCTCTGTGAGCTAGGTACTAATTACCACCGCTTTATGAGGAGCCTCAGGGAGAGAGAGAGAGGAAATAACTTCCTGAGCCTAGTAAAGTGGAAGGCTGGGATTTGACCCCAGTCAGTTTGACTTCAGGTCTCTTAACCAGACTGGTATGGCATGCTACTGTGTGACAGATGTGTTTGGTCTTAATTTAACTATTTTTAAAAAATGTTATGCTTCATATTAATGTGTTTTATTTATGTATTAGTGTTTTTTAACTGAAGACTTGTTTTTGTCTTTGCTTTGTATTAGGTGTGTGTTCTTAGTAATAATTAAAAGGTCTTATTTTTGCATATTTTAGTATCATTTGATACATTTACCCTGTATTTGTTTAGGGGTAACTATCTCCTTCCTGCTGTAATCAGCGACCAGGTTGGTATTGCCACATATTCTTGCCTCCCCTTTCTTCTCTCCACCACCTGCTTTTGATTAATTATGTTACTAAACTTATTCCAATGTTAACATTTTAACTTTATGTTTACTAATGCCTCTGATACTTTGTCAGTTTTAAATAATACCTTTTGATTCCACTGTTAAGAGGCAAGTGTCTTTACACTCCCTCCTTTCCTTGGACACTGCTCAGATTGATGTTAGTTTTTTCTGTTAAAATTTATAACATTTACATTCTGTTCCATAATTCCCAGAAAAGAAAAGTCTTTTATTTTTTTGAGACAGAGTCTCCCTCTGTCGCCCAGGCTGGAGTGCAGTGGTGCTATTATCAGCTCGTTGCAACCTCTGCCTCCTGGGTTCAAGCAGAGGTTGAATTCTCCTGCCTCAGCCTCCCGAGTAGCTGAGACTACAG